TTTTTAATATACTGAAAGACATTCAGGTAGTTTTCATCTTTTTTGTGGGTTTGTTTTTTGTATAGGGGATTGAACTCAGGACCTTGCGCTTGCCAGGTAGACTTAGCACCACTGAGCTAAATCCCTGGCTTTTGGGTTTGTTTTGAGACAGGGTCTGGCTGCATACCTCAGGCTGGCCTTGAATTCATGGTGATCTTCTTGCCTCACCCAAGTACTGGGAGGCATACATCACCATACCTGACAATTTCCAATTTTGTGAGCCACCCAGAGTGGTAAGATTCATAGACACAAAGTACTACAAAAAATTTAAAAATAAATAAAAATAGAATGATGGTTGCTAAGGGTTGGGGAAATGGAGTATTTAAATAAAGTTTTAGTTTTACAAAATGAAAAGTAGATAGTCGCATGGTTGCACAAGTGTGGGGGGCACACACCTGTAATGCCAGCACTCGGGGAGGCTTAAGCAGGAAGATCATAAACCCAAGCCCAGCCTGGGCACCTTAGCAACTTAATGAGACCCTATCCCAAATAAAAAAGGGCTGAGGGTGTGGCTCAATGCAAAGGCCCTATGTTTAATCCTCAATATGCCCCCCCAAAGTGATGCTTTATTAAAGTATATTTGATCACATCTTAAAAATAAATATTGGCGGGCCGGGGATTTAGTTCAGTTACACCGCACCTGCCTTGAAAGTGCAAGGTCCTGAGTTCCATCTCCAGTATCTAAAAAAATTAAATAAAAATAAATATTGGCAGCTAACATGTTTTAGGGAACAAATTTCAGACCAGGTACATAAGGCTTACCAGACTGGTACTTATGCTGGGACCCCTCAGTTAGCAGGACCCTATGAGGCTGGTTATCCCATATGGTGCGGCCTGGGTCCCCAACATCCCACTTCATGCAAACAGAGGCACTTGCTCGTATGTGCAGTCAGCACAGCAGCACCAAACCCAAGGTTAATGCTGGCTGGCACAGAGTACCTTGATGTTAATACCCAGGATGGAGGAAGGGCCCCAGTACATTTGGTTATGGCCAAGAGACAAGGAAAGAGAAGCAGGTGGACACAAGCATGTTTTAGGTCAAATGATTTAAAGCAGGAGGTGGTTTTTTTGTTTGTTTTTGTTATTTTGCAGTATTGGATTGAACCCCAGGCCTTGTACAAGCTAAGCAAGTATGCAGCCATGAAGGCCCCAAGGCATGTATTTTTATGTGCAGTGTATATCGTTTGTGGCACCCAAAACATTCTATAGAGCACCGTGCACCATTCTCCTTGCTCACTGCATTGGGAACTTTACTGTGGTCTAGAACAGTGGCTGGTGGGACATGAACACACACTGGAGATGCCCCGTCTGGAGGCTAGCAGAGCTCGGAGCTCAGATTTGTGTGGCACACAAGCAGGAAGTCACAGGGCAGGGATGGGGGATGTTAGGCACTGCTTTGCACAAATGACTTCGGCATCCTCACCACAGCCTGCCCAGAGGCAGATGAGCAAATACCAAAAGGGTTGGTGATGTAGCCCCACCTGGCTCTGCTGCTTGGGGTGAGGATCTGGCTGGGACTGGGTTTTAGGAGGCTCTTTTCAGACTTGGGTGGTGCTGACCCTGGCCCATGTCCAGGATCTCACTGCAACAAACGTAGGAAGGTTGGACATAGATGACCTACCCTCAGCCTATTCCTCACCCAAGTGGGCTTGGGAGACCACACTTGTCACTGTCTTTTGCTCCTACCTGGCCTGGAAGGCTCTTGCCCCTGCCTGTAGACTTCAGCGTAAGTCTTCTGTCTGAGGTAATTCTTGTTTCCACTAAAATTGGTTGGGTTTGTTTTGGGATTTTTTTTTTTTTTTTTTTTTTTTTA